CTCCCTCCCACCCCCTTTTCCTCTGGCATCGCCATACTGCTGTCTATGAGATTCTGGTTTTGCTTTTGTTTAATCCCTTCACCTTTTTCACGCACAGACTGTTACTTTACTTAATCCTCACCATCACCCTATGAGGAGGTACTGTTGTCAGCTGCATTTTATAGAGAGAAAAATCACACCCAAAGTCACACGGCAGAGTACTAATGCCCAAAGTAGGTGAGGTTGGGCCCAGATGGAAATCCAGGCAAAAGCATCAAAGCTGCGCCCCCATGACCCCATTCCCCACTCGCCAGCAACACCACCGCTTGTGCTCAAACAAGCTGAAATTTCTTTCTTCTTTTTAATCCTCACCTAAGGATATGTTGGTGGTTTTTTTTAACTGGTATTTAGAGAGAAAGGAGAGAGAAACATGGATTGGTCACCTCCCGCATGCACCCCAAGCAGGGAGAGAATCCGCAATCCAGGTATGTGCCCCAATTGGGAATCAAACCCACAAACTTTCGGTGTACTGGACGATGCTCCAACCGAGCCACTGGGCGAGGGCTCAAAAGAGTTGAATTTTAACTGAGGGCCTCTCTCTACCACTGACAGGTTCATTTCTACTTGTCCAACCAGTTTCGAGGACTAGACGTGCAGCCCAGGTTTCAATGAGAACAAAGAGTAAAGCACTTCCACTCTCACTGAGCCCAACTTTAGAACACCATGGCCACCTGCCTCCACTGCCCCCTCCAACCCCTCCCAAGCTCAGGTGGCTGCATGTTTGGGCCCCTTCACCTTGCAGACACCTCCACTCCACACCAGGAGCTCCTGGTGGGCAATACCCCCCCTCCACACACACACACTCCAAGACTGACTCTCCGGGGCTGAAGGTCAGGAAGTGGGGAATGAGTCATTGGCAGGACGAGAGGGAAGGGGAGACAAGCCTTCCAGACTGTGGCCAGTGTCACATGCTCTCCAACACCTGCCTTGCAAGCCCCATGTCTCCCCGCACAGTGTGCAGCTGGGACTAGGAAGACAGCTGAGCCTTGGGTCATTCTTGCAGTTTGATCTGGAAGGGTTCCTGGTACAAGTCTGGCCTTGGCCCACAGAAGAGCTGGAACCACAGGCCTGCCACCACAGGGTGGGGTGAGGTAGGGTAGGGTGCAGCCAGCTAGCCCCTCCTCTGCTGGTGCCCACTTCCACCCCCTCCTCCCCCAAGAGCAGATTGCACACATGCCCAGCCTGGTAGTACTGAGGCAGCCTCTGCCACTCACAGTTTCCACCCTACCTCCTCCCCAAGCTTCATTTTCCATCCACATTCAACCGAGGTTCATCCTATCCACTCAGACATACTGGGTGGTCAGCAGGGCAGGGATCACTATTTCACAGATGAGGAAACAAGCAAGCTCAGCAAGAACGAGTGCCTTGCTGGAGGCCTGGAAGCACGCTCTGGCTAGACGGGTCCCAGGTCTGGCCAGGCCTCACCCTTTCAGAACGGCTGCACACACGCCCACCTTAACTGCTGCATGTTCTTCAAGGGGCCAAGGACAGACAGAGTCTGCTCTCCCACTCTGGTAGGGGAGAGAGAGACCACCAATGCAAAAACAAACATGGCAGATAACATCAGATGGCCAAAGGTAAGATGGAGAAAATAAGCAGGCCCTGGAGTTGGGGTAGGCAGGGCCACTATGTAAGATGGGAGCCAGGAAAGGCCTCTGTGTTCTGGGAGGCCTGGGGACCCTCCCTCCTCCGTAAGATCTCACCTCCAGATAGCCCCCAACTCTGGCAGGGACTGATAGGGCTCTCGCCCTCAGGCAGACACCCCCAGGGCTCCCACCCAGCTAGGCCACCACTCTAGTCAAAGTCCCAGCCCTCCTCCACCCCAGCCAGGGGCTCTGTCAGGGCTCCGGAGCTCTCCTGCCAGGGCAAGGCTCTGCTGAGCAGGTAACCTGTGCTGGGGCCCCAATTCCTCTAGGGCTGCTCCTGCATCTCCTGGCCCAGGCAACTTCTCCATCTCTACAATGGAAGAACAGCTTCAGAACGACCTCTCTCCCAATTCAGACACACCAGCTCCTCCCTCACCCTTGGCCTTGGAATTGGGTCACCACAGTAGGCCCCAAATGTCTCCTCCATCACCCTTCCCACTAGGTCCACAGCTCAAATGACACCCTCTGTGCTTTCCCACGGCTTACGGACCAACTCCAAGAAATCTGCTTCTTCCTCCAAGACCAACCGACTCTTCCCTGCAGTCCCCAGCCAAGACCTTTTGGCCTCTCAACTAGTTAACCCCTTGGCCCAACTTTCCTCTCTACAGTCTGGCAAGCCTCCACCTCCCTCAGTCCCAGGCCAGTCAACAATGCCACTGTCCTTCCCAAGCACAGAAGCTAGACACCTGCTCCTCAGCTTTGACAGGCCCTCCAATTTCCTGTCCTGCAAATCCCATTGTCCAAACTCACCCACTTCATCAATGACCCCTTCCCTGCCTGGGGCCCAAGATCACCCAACCCCTTCACTGCCAGGCCAACTTCTCAAGCCCTCTCCCCAGCTGAGACAGACCAACTCTTCCAGCCCATAAATGAACCTATTTCTCCATGTCATCACTTCTCCACCTGAGACCCACTGACTCCTCCCAAGTGTGAATCCTGACCAGTCCGTGCAGTCCCTCTCTAAACTCCCAGGAATGAATGAGACTCCTCCAGCCTGCAAGAGATCATCACCTCCACTACTCACTTAGCACAGACCAGTCAGCAACCAGACTCTCACTGACTCTTGTCTTGACATCCTTCCTTCCCCTCAAACTCCTTCACTGCTCTCTAAGACTGCCCACGAAACACACACACACACACACACACACACACACACACACACACACACACAATACAAACAAACAAACATGATTCTGCCTGGATAACAGCACCTACTGTTTAAGTGACAGGAACTTACAAAGGCTATCTTATTTAATCCTCACTACCTCATGATAGAAATTAGCACCATTTACACAGAGAGAGAAACAGGAGGCTCCGAGAAGCATGGCTAACTCAAAGCCAGACAGCTGGTTACACACAGCTGCTCCTCTTCTGAGAACCTACAGGCCAGAAATTTTACCCCACCTTGTGCCAAACGCTCCAACTGCCCCACCACGACCCTCTAGCTCACAGACTATCTTCCCTTCCCCTTGCCCATGGTCCACTGACTCCCATCTCTGCCACTCTCCTGGAAGCTTGCGAAGCAGACACATCCAGGCCCCAATCCTCTAGAATGACCACTAAAATTACCAGTATCACCTAACATCACTCCTAAAATGGCCAATAATAACTACAGCTTCATCAAGGCTCATCCTGGTCAATCACTTTTCACACATAATCTGATTTAGTTCTCCCTTAAACCCTGTGGCATGGGTATTATCACCCACTTTACAGATGGGGAAACTGAGGCTCAGAGGAATAACGTTACCAGCCTGAGGTCATAAAGTGGGTAAATGGGAGTCAGGGTTTGAACTGGAGTGTCTGCTCTTCATCACTCTGCTCTGCCTCTCCAGGTCTTTCCCCCTTCCTGCTCTGAGCTCTCTGGACCAAATACCATGCTACAGCCAGGACCCATTCTGACTCTTCCCTTCCTCAGCCACAGTCACCCAAGTCCTCCGCCTAGAACCCAAGAACCTGGCTGGCTCCCAATGCCAGGAACCTTAAATTAACCCCTGTCTCTTTAACAGCAACTAGCCAAACTGGCATTTATGGTGGGCTCCCTGTGTGTTCAGCTTCCGGTTACCATGTTTCTCACTCTAGCATCAAAGCCAACAATTCCTCCACTGCCCACAGACTAGCAACAGTCTCTCCTCTTTCCCCAGGGCCAACAGACCAAATTCTACACAGCCAGGGCCAGTCTGCTCCCTCTTTGCGGGTCTCCACCCCAGCAAGACTGACAGACTTCTCTAGCACAGAAATGGACTCAAGGCAGCTGTCCATCAAAGGAGCAGCTTTCCACCTTTCCAGCCCTATGGTCAAAACATACTCCCCTCCAGCTAGCTGTCTTTCAGTTCCAACGCTAACCTGACTCCCTCCAGGGACCTATAATCCATGGACTTATTTCCTCTCCCGACAGCTCAAGCCACCCAACTTCTTCAATGTCCTCACCTTCTACTGATCAACCACTCCAATTCCCCAACTCTTTCTCAGGAGGGGAAAAAAAGACCCTTCTATAACCAGGCCCCAAAGTTCCTCTGCTCCTGAATGGCTGACAATGTTCTGCTTCCCATTTTGGGGGGAGCCAGAGGCATGAAGTAACTTTTCTTCTTAATGCTAAGATCTAACACCTCCTCTGACTATCTCACCCACCCCCAAATTAACCACGACCCTTGCTCCTGTTCTGGGAGTTTACCTTGACTCCCTTTTCCCAACCCCATGATTTACCGACTCTTCTACAACCACCGTCCAGATTTAGTTCTCTCCCTTTTTTCAGGCACCCCTTGTCCCCAGACTTGTAGACCAGGAACTTAACCTCTTTCCATTGCCATGGGCCCATCAGCCTTCTCCAACTGCCCTTTCAGAGCCAATGCTGACCATTCTTCCTCCCCTGATAGGTCTCTCTACCCTTCCTTCTCTGGGGGGGAGTATGAACTCAAAGGCTGAAGCCCTCCCAATCCCCCAAGCCATCAAACTTTCTTTTAATTACTCATCGTTTTAAATTCTAAAACGATCACATTCTGCGTCCCTTGAGGCGGGGCTGGGGGTGGGCATAAACGAGCTACTTTTCTCCTTCCCAACCCAACAGCCATCCCCTCTCTAACACTCTCCAGCTCTTAACTGACCACTGTCTCCTTAAATCACCATTAGGTGCAACTTACTGAGCATCACCTCCGTGCTGGGCGTTGCACCGACTCGAGAGACCCCCACGAGCCCGCCCTCGGTCCCCGGTTGTAGTTACCGTGTCTCCAAGGGTCTTTGGGCTCCACCGCTCCGGACACAATATCCTCGTCGGAGGGGAACGTGACGCGCTTGGCCGCAGCCTTGAGGCGCCCGTCGGCCGGGGACGATGCGGGACTGGGAGACTGGGCCTCGGCGGGGGCCTCCTCGGCGTCGCCGT